ACCTTACTAATACTAGAAGTAAATACACACAGATCAATTTGGGTTGGGAAAAAGGCAATTGCATTAAGTTTTATAACTTGCATGAACTTATCCATTTAACCCCCCATGGAAGATGTGTTCTTTTAATATCACATACCTAAAAAGTCCCCCCCAAAAAAGATCATTATTAGTAACCCCTTCCCTTAAAATCACTGTTAAAACAACTGTCAAGAAAAAATTTTTCTCCCCTACTGGTATAAAAAGTTATAAAAGTTATATACACTGATGGATCTAAACAGGAGCTTCTGGCAGGCTGCTTTCTTTTTTGGCCACCTCCCTATTAAAAACATAAAAAATTTTTTGATTTGGCTAAGTTTAAACACGGGCGTCTACACTGCAAACTGAATTTTTTTTGCAATCCTAAGGCGCTAAAGTTTAACCTATGAACTGACTTGAATTATCACCATTACTACCTTTTGTTATCATTGAAGGCTGTTGTTTCATTTTGACTCCAACAACATGCTCTTTGGGAGAATCGGTATAATCAAAAAAATCCAGGAAAAAGGAAATTTAATGTACAATTGATAGGGATCGCATCACCATTGGATTACCCCCTTCAGATAAAGTTAAATTTTTCCAAAAAGGGGTCCCGAAGAAGAAGTAGAATATAACTTTGAATCTGTGCTCATTAGGAATAATATTAGGAGAGAAGTAAATAACAAAATAAATTTTGGGAATGCAGTTAGAACCCTATAGTCTTGCCCCACTATGAAAAACATAAACGTAAATAAATGTTTATGGAAAAATGCAATGTAAACAGACGATGATTTGTAGTGGCCGGCTTAGGTTGGTACAAGTATTTTTGGCATTTTGGGAACACACAGATGACAAACAACATGCAAATTATTGACAGGCATATGGTCATGTCTTGAACTTTATTGTTTAATTGTCCACTTATTGAGGAATACAGAGACAGACAGTATAAAAACCTAGTGACATGAAAGATATCTTATTATGAAAAAAAGATACCAATATACAAAGCAAATTTCCTAAATTTGCTTGAACAGATAAGTGAACTTAATACTAGATATAAACCCTTTTGTCCCCTGTTAACCTTTTTTTTCCTATTCCTGGGCCTTTTATTACCCCTAGCTCTTGCGCTCCGGGGGCAAAATTAAATCTCAGGTTAGTACAATCTCTTATTTTTTTTGGCATCCTTTACCCCGCCCGTTTTCCCCTTCACTCATTTGGTCTTCCTCCATTTTCCCTTTCCTTATGTTCAGATGTCTGTCTTTTCCCTTTCCCTTGGGGGGTTCCGAGGGTTCGTGTCTTTTTCCCCCCCTGTTGCCTACGGTTTGCTTTCACTTTCTTTTCTTGATCACTTCGGTTGCAGCTGATGCCATTGCTGTTTATGCAAAATTTTTTCAAATGTTCTGGCGGTTTGGGTTTGCGGCTTTTTTTTTTCTGACGATGTGTTTTTGGGGGCTTTCTTTGACTCAACTGTTTTTTTTCCCCCATCCTCATATGCTTCTCCGTATTTTAAAGTTCCTTTGGGGTTTGTGATCTTTTCAGATTCCCCCAGCCCTTTTCAAATCATTAAATAATTTGATTCCCCCATCCGTTTGGGGCCTTCTTTCAAATTTGGTTTCAAAACCCAGTAGTAGCAAAACAAAGACGTCGTTTTCTGTTGTGTCCCCGAACACTTTTTATGAGCAGAGCAATGAACAGGGAGGTGATGCTGTGCGGCAGTGGTACATGATCTTCGATTTGCATAGAGGTTTTCCTTCAGGGGCTATTTTACAGTCACTTTGTCCGTTTTCGCAACCGTTTTAAAAAAACGTGGCGAACATGCCCATAACAATTTCACTCTATTAAACCATTTTAGGGTTTTTTTGGCATCTTCTTACCACTGTTTCCGTACTCGGGAAAAACTGCACTCTCCCCCTCCAAAGCGGGCCCTACCCGCCAACCCTGGGTATTTCATAGAACGCATGTATTCCTCTCTGGGAAGACTGTTGGTCCCTATTTCATTCTTCCTTTCTTGTGGGCTGTCCTTTACCCGCGAGCTCGCAGGATTTACCTCGACTAACAACCGGGGACCCATTTTAAAATGATGGGTGAACGGGGCAGGGCAGGGGCAAAAGGGTCTTATGGGAAAACGTCCCCCCTGTTTTCCCGCCGTACAGGAGGAGATTTTGACCCGGACCTCGATGTGATGAATCTCAAACGATCGAGCTAGGGGCACCTTAAGGAACCTAAGGGGCCTGGATTAGGGGCCTGGATAAGGAACCTAAATAAGGAGCCTAAATAAGGAGCCTAAAATGGAACTTACATAAGAAGCCTAGATAAAAAGCTTAGATAAGGAGCGTAGAAACAAGCCTATGTACGGAACGTAGATTGGAGTCCGGGATAAGGAGCCTAGATAAGGAGCCTAAATCAGGAGCCTATATAAGGAGCCTAGACAAGGTGCCTAGATTAGGAGTCTAAATGAAGAGCCTACACAGAGAGCCTAGATAAGGAACCTAGATGTGGATCCTAAATATGAAGTAAAGATAAGGAGTCTAGATAAGAAATCTAGATAATGAGACTAGGTAAGGAGCTAAGATAAGGAGTCTAGATAAGAAACCGAGATAAGGAGCCTAGATAAGTAGCCTAGAAAACGAGCCTAGTTTAAGGGAAAGTCTTGATAGTGAGCCTAGCTATGAAGAATAGAGAGGAATCTTGATAAGGAGCCTAGAAAATGGAGCCCAGATAAGGATTTCTAGATAAGGAGCCTATACTAGGGCATAGATAAGGAACCTTGATATGGAGCCTAGATATGAAGTTTTGATAAGGAGCCTAGATAAAGTGCCTAATGAGGTGTCTAGTAAGATCCCTAGATAAGGAGTATAGATAAGGAACCTGGACAAGGAGTCTAGATAAGGAACCTAGATAAGGAGCCTAGACAAGGAATCTAGATAAGAAGCCTAGATAAGGAGCCAAACATGGAGCCTAGATGAGTCCAGATAAAAAGCCTAGATAAGGAGCATAGACAATGAGCCTAGATAAGGAATCTAATAATGAGCCTAGCTTGGAGAATAGATATGAACTCTTGATAGGAGCCTAGAAATGGAGCTGTATAAGGAGCCTAAATATGGATCCCAGATA